ATATATATATATATATATATAACTGTATCAAAACACATTTTAACAGACTTCACAGCTTATTAAAGCTTCAGTTTATAGGCATTCATATGAAAGATTTCTAATACGGAATGTTCATTTAGAATTCTTCACTGGGCTTCCAGTGTTCTACATCAGAAATGCAGAAGTTCTTCTTCAGTGCAATGTTAGACATTTTACCTCTGTTCATTTATGCTTTTCTTTCAAGGTTTCCCAAATTTTACTTTGGATCTTCATTTTTGTATGCTTGACTTATTTCCTTCCCTATATTTTCAGGTAAGGCAGGTTGATATCTGTATAAATATCCATATGGACGAAGATGATAAACAAGGTATTCTAACTCATACATGGTTGTAAGATCAACATAGTGAAAAGAAACTGCAAGATCAGAACAGCAACCAGGACCCTCTACAGGAGGGTAATAGTTATAATTGCAGTACCAAAATGTTTTAGGTAGATAACCCTTGATTAAGTGGTGCTCTGGTAGAAAGGGATGAAAAGTTTCTTTTCCAATGGTATCTCTGGAATCTCCCGCTTCTACATTGATAATTTCCATGCATCTTCCCAGTGCTAAATCTTCAATGGAGGAACTATGTGTACATTTCTTTGTTTTAAACGCATCAACAAATCTCTTCAAGGCTTCTTTGCTCAGTACATATCCTGCTCCTCCACTCATGTAGCCCTGCTTAACATAGGGCTTAAATCTTCTCCCAAAGTAAATGGGTTCTTCAGGGCTGTGTTTTGAGAGAAGCCATCTCAAATTGTCTAGTATAACATATGTATCGTCATCGGCTTTCATAAACCAATCAGCATCTTCTAGATAGTGATCATGAACATACTGAAAAGCTTTAATTGTTTTCCAGTATAGCTGGTCTCTGCCTTCTCTGGTTTCTAATCCCACAGCAGGGAAGTCTTTGTTTTCTTCTGAACTCATAAACAACACTTTATTACAGCGCTGGGCCCATGTAGCTTTGACATGTTTAGCCTTTTTCTCTAGATTTTGAGGTCCTGTCATAACCCAGCAAAGAATTTTAACCTTCTGATAGAGGTTTTCAGCGATGTCAGTGTTCTCATCTATTAAACAGAAAATTTCAAAGTTACATTTACATATAATGTGAAATCCAAATAAATTATGTTGAAGAAGACATTTTCTTAAACAGTATCAAAGAACCACCCCACCCCCTGTCCCTGTTTCTATTTACCTAGCTACCATTAGTGATTTAACTGAAAGAAAACAAAACTCAACCTAATATGAACTGTCATTCTGATCTATTGGTTTCATGTCAATCTTATCCAGGAGATCAGTGGAGCTAACAAGAGTTGTCACTATGACTTCAATTTTTCAATAATTTTTCATTGCTCTGAATAAACTCTGAATCGCACCGCCCCTCCCCTCAGCTGGTCCAGGCCGCGGCCGGCCTGTTTTAGAAGGCTTTTAGTTAGAGCTTTTATATTAGGTTTATTGTCCATCCCAAATTAATTTTCATGTTTGGTTTGAAGTATATGTCAAGATTCATTCACAAATAAAACCACAATTATGTAAACTATAATCTAATTTCTAAAATCTATGATGAGGCTATGTACAATTTTAACTTGAGAGATTTACATTGTGAATAGTGACCTGGAATGGCAGAAGTTTAAAAGAGTTCTTGAGGATGGTTTAATTACCTGCCTCAGAATTCCCAAGTGGTTGTAAAGTTTTCTACTTCCAAAGCAACATACATGAGTCTCAATTTCTTCATAGTCTTGGTGTAGCACTTTTCAATTTTAACTCTTCTAGTGGGTATCTCATTATGGTTTTCAAGTATTTTTATAATGAGATTTTGTTAAGTACTTTGAACATGTTTGGTATTCTCCATATTATCACTGACAAAAGGAAAAGAGTATAGACAAAATGCATAAGAATACTGATGCAGGGTGAGTAGACTTAGCATCATGGAATCCAGTTGGGGGCTATGGGGAAAGCGTTTGGGCAGAATCTGAGATGATTTAAGGTCAGAATTTAAGCCTATGAATTTGTTATTTACTACTTGAATATAAGCTTTTTCACAAGAAGGTGAGGATCTAGCTTAATAAAATATTATTCTCTTTTTTCTCTCAAATAATCTGAAGCTTAATTATTTATATTTAATACTTAGATTTTTATTTATCTTAAAACATTAATAAATTATTAGCATTTCACAGTAACATTTAATAGCTATTAATAAGGCTTCACATATTTTAAAAGTGTAAACTAATGTAATATTTATACTTTGCCAAAGTTGGGATTGAAAGCATTACCTTCACATATGCTACCTCTTTATCAGGTTCTCATCTAGATATCCATCTGCTGTATTTTTTTTTTTGTTAGAAGTTAAATAACACATTTTTCATGTAACACAATCAAGAACTAGAGAATTTGATATAGTTATAAATACTCAGGAGCGTGGGATCCAATGGCATGTGGTATGCGATAGAAACTGAGCAAATTTCATTTGAGTCCAGATGTATACAGCATCCAGGTTGTAAGAATAAACATGTTTTGTAAATTTTGTTAAACAACCAACTGCATTGTTATGTTTTTTAGCCTAATACTGACATTTCTGTACATGATTCCAGAATGTTGCTTTAATGAACTACATCGGAACAAGGAATTCCGTACTAGTATTCTGACACATTCGTCTGAAAAATACTCACATACCACTTCATGTCCTCTGTTTTCCTTTAAGTTTTATTTATTCTGAGATGTTTACCCTTATTTTACATAGAAATATAAAGAGAATATCAAATCCCCAAATCATATTTCTGCCTTTGCCAGAAACAATCGTCACTATAAAAGAGAAACCCCCCCACAAATGATTGTGTGCTAGCTAGAGTATGAGAGGGCTACCATTTCTACTTCTTTTTTTTTTCAGTCCTTTATTGTTTTCAATTTCTATCATCTATAATAATAAAAGCGTAATATGCTAATTAGACCAGATGTCCTTTGGGACTTCCTTCTTCTGGACAAAGCCCCAGTGGGCGGTGGGTGGGGGCTGTGGCAGAGGCAGCAGAGGCCTCCCAGCTGCAGCAGAGGTGGTGGGCAGGGGCCGAGGCAGAGGCAGAGGGGGCCAAGGCCATTGTAGGAATTTCATTCATTGGGCCTCTAATAAGCTATAAAAATATGTTTACTGAAATGTGTGAAACTTTAGAATATAACTGAAGATAAATGCTAAATTATATATAATTTAATCTGTTTTCATAGAAAGCAAACTTATTGTAGATTACATTTTCAAATATTTCACATACTTATCATCAACAGAAAACAACAGAGTTATCCATGGCATTAAACCAGCCCATGCCAATTATGTTATTTTATATGCTGCTTTCAAAGCAATAGTTCTGTAAGGAATCCAAATGAAAGCTCAGTTCAGTAGCGCTCTGTATTCTAAAGTGTTTGTTATGAGATCAGAAATATAACAAATGTGACATGAGGGTACAGTGTTCAAAGAAGAAAAATGGCATATCATACATAAAAGATGAGCTGATTATAATTAGTGAAGGCCAAATTATAGTGTGTCCATAGATATTATAAGAACACAAAAACATTGCAATTACCTAAAATAATATAATCAACAAACTCTGAATTTACTGATTAATTTTAGCTAAGATTTTTAAAATTTTACATATTACATTTTACTACCACTAGCATCACAACCTGTTGCTCTGTGTTTTTTTTTTCCTAGAGAACTTGTCTTCTGTTTCAATTTATTGTAAACTAAAGTAAGATATTTATTGTCAGTTGGTAAACATGCCAACATCTACTGTACATAGAAATAGGAAAATGTCCTTGGAAAAATCATCATTTTTTGTTTAGGTAAAGAATGCCATTTATTTAGGTACAAATTTTTGATTTACATTACTTTAAGTATGAGACAAAAATAGGAATTTCTCACCTTTTCAATGATTTCCTTGGGCATGAGACCAGCACAAGGATGGTTTAAAAATAAATTTTTCATTAATTTTCTACCCATGTAATCACAGATGCTGTTTAGAAATGCTTGTGTGTGCATGCATGAATGTCTGTGCACATATGCATGTGTGCATGAGTGTGTGCATGGGCATGGGTGTGTACAGCATTCAACTATCTTCCCTTGCACCACTCTAAAATCTTGGTTTTAAGGATAAAAGTTTAATCCAAATATGAAACATGGGAATGGAAAAAGAGGAGTTAAGTTGGCTTCTTTCCAAATTACATTTAAGTTTCCCATCAAACTGGTATCAGAATTGCCTTTCCTAACAAAACACAAATATTAATGGGTTAATCGTGCCAAGGTATAATAGAAAGTAGCTTAGCTTTCCTTGTGCTGGTCTTATATGCACTGATGTCTAAACTTCTAATTTCCCTTTCTTTGCCTCTTGATGACAACACAAGTATATCCCATGATTTTATAGTAACTTTACAGTAATAGAAGTGTATTGATTTCAGGAATTATATAAGCCCAACCCATTCTATATCAAAACATTAATTTCTCCTTCCATTTAAATACCACCCTAACCTAGTTGACCTATGGCCACACAAACAGCAACAAGGAAAATGATATGCATTGTCTATTCTTTTACTTTTTTTCTACTCAGGTTGTGGAGCCTAAAGCATTTACAATTTGGGACAATGCACTCCCTTTATGAAAAGTTAATACAAATAATAAATACAGAATTTGTTCCATGGCATCCCAAGAAGGCCTGTGCACGTGAGAGGCTCTGAATTTGAACTTCATTAGCTTCAAGGTACATTCTCCCCTGCCTTCACGTAGCACTTCCTCTCTTTCTCCTCATCCTCTTGGTTCTTCAAGAATTAAAGCATAATGAGGAAGGTCTGGAGCTGAAGAAAGAACAGGTATTTTCACCAGGCAGAATTATTGCCAGTTCCTTCTTAGCTAGTACTGGCTGGTTCTGGCCCTTTGTCATGGCAAACATCCAAACTTGAATATTTATGAAATACATCCTTGGATTATTTATGAATCATCTCTTTGTATCTACCCAATCACATCTATGTTCTCTGATTAAAAACTAGAACTCCTGAGCTGACCTCTAGATTTTGCTGTCAGCTAGTGCCTCTGGCAGTATACTTTACTAGGTCCCCACCATGGCACATAATCTTTTTATTGGTGGTTGGTGGGGAGGAGAGTACTTTCAAAATGACTTCAGCATATTTGTTTCCCACAGTATCCATTTGACTCAAAGGAAAATAAACTCTCTTGTTTGTCAAATTTCATCTTGCTTCTACTGTGTTTTTTCTTATCTTTGCCTCCCCAATGTAGGGATGTTCGAGGCATCCTCCCACCTGCCAGTGTGAGAGCCAGGCTGCAATTTCTTTGCTACCAAGACTCTAGGGAAGGGGTGGGCAAACTTTTTGACTCGAGGGCCACAATGGGTTCTTAAACTGGACCGGAGGGCCTGAACAAAAGCATGGATGGAGTGTTTGTGTTAACTAATATAAATTCAAAGTAAACATCATTACATAAAAGGGTACGGTCTTTTTTTTTTTAGTTTTATTCATTTCAAACGGGCTGGATCCGGCCCGTGGGCCATAGTTTGCCCACGGCTGCTCTAGGGTGTGACAGGCCAAACTTTCCTAAGACTTCACAACATTCTCCACCCTGGTAGCAGCATGGCCCTGTCGATGGGTTTTTGAGCTCAGCTACCCAAGGCCAGAGAGCAAGACTTAGTTTTTCATTTTTGACCCCAATTTTTTCCAGTATCTCAAATATATTTAGAGGCTTATAATTTGCCTTAAAGGGCACCTCAAGGAAGAAAATTCTAACATCTATCTTTACTCATACAAATTTCTTTACTTCAAGAAACCCCATCTTCACCAATATACTCCTAGCTTTCATTTATATAGATTGCAGGTGGGAAATGTTGGCTGGGTGAGTTTGGCTTTTTTTTTATTGTTTAAAGTATTACAAATAGTAGTATATATATCTCCTTTTTTTTTCCAATTGACCTTCCCCCAGCCTCCCCTAACCCCGGCACATGCCCTCACCCCCCTCCTAGTGTCTTGCCTACATTGGTTATGCTTATATGCATGCATACAAGTCCTTCGGTTGATCTCTTACCTCATCCTCCCAACCCTCCCCAGCCTTTCTGCTGTAGTTTGACCATCTGTTCGATGCTTTTCTGCCTCTGTATCTATTTTTGTTCATCAGTTTATAATGTTTTGTTTATTATCCATAAATAAGTGAGATCATGTGGTATTTTTCTTTCACTGACTGGCTTATTTCACTTAGCATAATGCTCTCCAGTTCCATCCATGCTGTTGCAAATGGTAAGAATTCTTTTTTTTATAGCAGCATAGTATTCCATTGTGTAGATGTACCACAGTTTTCTAATCCACTCATCTGCTGATGGGCATTTAGGCTGTTTCCAAATCTTAGCTATGGTAAATTGTGCTGCTATGAACATAGGGATGCGTATATCCTTTCTGATAGGTGTTTCTGTTTTCTTGGGATATTTTCCTAGAAGTGGTATTATTGGGTCAAATGGCGGTTCCATTTTTAAATTTTTGAGGAAACGGCATACTGTTTTCCACAATGGCTGCACCAGTCTGCATTACCACCAGCAGTGAAGAAGGGTTCCTTTTTCTCCGCATCCTCTCCACCCATGCAGTGGGCTTTCTTGTTGTTTTGTTTATGGTTTCTTTTGCTGTGCAGAAGCTTTTGATTTTTATGTATTCCCATTTATTTATTTTCTCCTTAGCTTCCATTGCCTTAGGAGCTGTATTGTTAAATATACTGCTACAACAAATGTCTGCTATTTTGCTGCCTATGGCTTCTTCTGATTTTTTATGATTTCCTATCAATTGGAAAGAAGAAGTAAAACTGTCTTTATTCACAGATGA